GTCTTCTGTTTACGTAGTTAGAGAGTAAGCTTAAGTTGGCAAATTAAGTTGGGAAATTAATCATTATCCCCTGTGTATTCAGCGACCCGCCCAATTTCATACCTGGCAGCGGGAAGTCTGTTGCGTCATTCGAATCGATTCGCATTGCTTCTTCCCTGTTGCGAAAGAAAATTTTCACAACTTTCCGTCACGCTTCGACATTAGTTAACGAAGTTCGTCCGGAGCTTCTCCCTCTTTTTTGTTCGCTCGCGGAAGTTCGTGTCTGTCGAGGATATCAAATCTTGGATTAATTTCTGACATGATGTATTGCGAAGTCATCGATCTTCTCTCGGCTTTCGCGAATTGCAACATCTGCAGGGATATTACGAGCAAAAACGATTTCAAAAAGTCGACTCTCCTGTATTCGTCGTAAAAAATTTACGACATCGAAAGTTATTATTTATTAGCCTCGTTATTATTATAGCTCGTCGATTATTCAGATCTTATTGTTGTTCCGCACTAAAACGTTCAGTTATAAATTCGTTTCACAATTATGTTTCATTGCTTTACAACGGAGGAATATATAGTAGTGTAATCTCATCTCGCTTATTAGATCGATTACTATCTGCTTATAACTTAGAAACTCAATTCAAGCAGGAATAATATATCGTTTATTGACATATGAAAAATTTTTTTCCAAAAGAAATTTGATTAAGCGCATTTCTATAATTCTTGAAATATATCCAACATATATTAAAGATTAAACAGTGAAAACGAACCGTCCGGCATTTTTCATAAACTTCGCTATACGAAAAATTCGAATTCAAACCAAAGAACGAAGGCGCAGCTCGCTGAACTTGGTTTAAAGATATCCGAGAAATCTCGCCGGAAGGAGAGAGATCCGGGGGAGAGATGCTGGGTCCCGCATTTCGCTTGTACCATTCATACGTTCTCATTTTGCAAAAGTCACATTACACAAGAATGTTTTCTTCGACTTGTTACATTTAATTTATTCCTCGGCGGAAGCAGAATAGCGCGTAAAGTGTACGCGAACCGAATAAGTATGTCGCGCTTTTCCCTTCTTGGCACTTCCTTCCAACGCTCGTATTTTCCGCTCCCTCCTCCCCCACCTCCCCCCTCTGTCTACCCATCGCGTCATCATTTTTCATTTGGGAAAGAGAAGGGCATCGTCCAACGAAAACGGATGCGGAACCGCGGCCGTGAATCGCTGCATTCGCGCAAGAATTGCAGTCGGAGGAAGAAGCGGGAGAGCTTGAAAGTATGATGGAAATTAATTTGCCGAGCTTAACGAACCCCGAGGCTCACAAAGCAACGGGAGGTACTGACGGAACGTCGTGTTAATTACATTGAGACCAGCAAGAGTAGACGGAGCGAAGACGGATTTTTATTTCCTCGAGCGAGAAAACATTCGCGATTTGTATGCGTATTTCCCGATATATTCGCAGGTTTTTTTTCATCGCAGAAATAGATGCGAATGAGAAATATCAAGAATGTATATATAGGTATCTTTCGCGTGTGAAATATAGGTGGGACTCGTGCAAATACCAAGCTTGTTCAGCTAATTGAAGCAAATATGCGTATGGCGGCGAATAAATAATTAAAAATAACCATAAAATATTCACGGCAATTTATGTATGACACGTTGTTCTGCGAGTCTTGAATTTATTTCGTGTATTCAGTCCTTCGGAAAGGAAATAATATTTCTACATCATTAGAATAATAATTTCATTAAATCGTGTTCTTCGTATAAGACCAATTGTTATCTTTATTTTTTGCCTTAAAGTACAATAGTAGAGGGAAATTAATTTTTGCAGCGAAAATTAATAGAGATCATCCTTAGTGTATAAGAGAGAGATAGATAGATAAAGAGAGAGAAAGAGAGAACCGTAAAATAATAAATCGCCGATTCCCCGGACACGTGTCTCGAGAGCCGCAGACCACCGAGGATTACGAGACGGAGGTCGGCTGGGAAATTAGTTTCCGAGCTTAATAGAGTTTCGCGAGCGCGAAAGATGGGCAGCATGCCGGAGGCGACGACGACTACTAAAGCTCCCTTCCGAAAGTTTTCAGCAACTTTGGCAATTTTTTCAATTAGCCGCGATTTTTCAGCGATGCGACGGAGCAACGCTCGATGAGTGCAGATTGCGCGAAATTCCTCCCGTGTTTGTTGTTGGATTCTGCTTCCGCTCTACTTTGCGATTTCCCGACGCCCTCTAACGACGTTTTACGTATATTGGAAAAGTCAACGCGACGTTATGAAAGCGCGTTTCTCAGCAGCTCCGAGACGAAACTTCTTTATTCCGGGAATATAAATCCCGCGGGATCCATTCTTCTCCTCGACAATATATCCTTTATGTCATTAATGGGTCGGTATTGTGTATTACGTTATATCGCGGCCCGATGAAACGCGGCAAATGCGTCTCGCTATCTCGATGACAGCTATTTCCGGCCGACTTCCGGTTTGATCGCATCGATGATTTACGAGCTCTGAAAGGAGCTCTGAAAGGATTGATATCGACGCGGTTAGTTTTAAAGCTGCATTTTCGCACACGAGTCAACTGCAACTTGCGGCTGTTGACATCTTTTCATTCTGTCGTTCGATACGATTCTTTTATTTTTATTTCGAAGACAGAGAAATATGTATCCATGAATGTGTGTTTTACACACGAACGAGAATCGCAAGATACTCCGCTATTGATTTTGCGCGTTACTTTAAGATTTCCAAAGGGGTTGCAACAGTTTCGGAGACAATTTATTTGTCTGAAACCGATAGGTCGGTCGTGTTAGATCATCCGGAACGAGGGGAAAATTTTATAAACTCCTTCGTGTGTCAGATTCAACAGTGGGAAAAAAGGAAAGTCGAAGAGCGGATCGACGGCTTATTTGAAGACTGGGAGACAAATGAAATCGGGAAATCCTGCTCCGTGAAATAGGATCATCCGAAATCGTGTTTCACCAGGCATTTAAATACTCTTGACATTTCGCAGGGTTGGGAAAGTTACTTTGTAAAAATAATTAGTTACAGTTACAGTTATTTTATTGAAAAAGTAACTAGTTACAGTTACAAGTTACTGATTTTAAAAAATAACTCATTACAGTTACAGTTACTCAAAAAGTAACGAGTCGTTACTTTTCAGTTACTTTTTAAAAATAATTATACATTATTTTAAATATAAGGAGCTTACATTTTATGCACAATCACAGTCAAGTATTTAAAAAAATTCTTGAAGCAAATCGATCAATTATTACATTTAAGAATTTTTTTAAATATTTGACTGTGATTGGTCGATTTTAATTATGTGTTATATTATTTTATGTACACAAAATGAAAATTTTAGGTAAAAGATTAAATCATATGAAGATCCATATGCTACTGTTAACAAAATTTAATTTAACAATATAACGGCTACCAAACTTAAACACGATACTTTTAGCGAATGTTTCCAAAAAAAGTAACTGTTAAAATAGTTACTAGTTACTAAAAAAATGTAACTAAGTTACAGTTACAGTTACAGATGGAGAAAAGTAACGAAGTTAAGTTACAGTTACCGAAAAATAGTAACTGTAACTGTAACTTCGTTACAAGTAACTCGTTACTTCCCAACCCTGACATTTCGATATCGAAACGAGACGAGAGAGCAAATCATTTGCGATTTTAACGTCGGTTAGATCATTCTCATTCGTGTTCGTATTGTGAAATCAAAATGACCGCGATCAATAAAGATGTGCGATACTAATAAAGTTTTAACGAGTATATCTAATACGAACAAACTTGAGATTTTATCGACTCGATACAATGTGATTTAGTTTACGAAACTTGACAAAGTGATAAGAAGATTATCGCGAAGTAATTGGAGACGAAGATAAGTCACGCGATAGCGGAAGTTACATCGTTCAAAGAGCATAAGAGTAATTACACGGGGCCCTTATGCTGTTCTAATTTTGAACGTGATACAACAAAGTTCTCTCTAGTCTACCATGTAGTTAAGCAAACTAAAAATATCGGAATTACAAGAGTAATCTATCGAGAGCGGAGACAATCTCTGAATTTGTCTATCTTTAAAGATGCAAAAAAAAAAAAGAGAAAAAAGGGTGATGAACAACTTGTATAATTTCATAGGAATATTGACTCAGTTAGAGAGAAGCCTCCGCAATCGCGTTCTCGTACACTTGTCCGCTCTTTCTCGTAATCAAACACATCCAGCATCCATCGGAAAAAGAGCCACGTGAAACGCCCCTCGTCAGTACCTCTTTTCCCTGGCTCTAACGAAGTCTTGTTCGTCGACGCTTTTCATCGCGCGTTCTTAAAAGCATCGACCAGGCGAGTTTTTAACGTCGTTTCTGACCGATCCCGTTTCATCCTCGCCCGATCGCTCTTAACATCGAGGAACGCGATAGCGCATTTGCATATCGCAAAAGTCGTCGATCCGTCGCGATAAAGTTTCCTTCTTCCCGGGAAACGCGTGAGAAACGCGTACGAGGTGAACGAGACATCTCGTTAATAACATAGAATGTCGAGTGAACTCGCTGTTGCTGTTAATGTAGCTCGTAGCGGCCGATCGATTAATTAACGCGGCTACCGCAGTGTCTAATCATTGTTTAAATTGGGTACTTCGACGCGCAAACATATGATATAGTAGATAATGGTGAGAGTAAATACGGGCGCCATTTGCGTCGCAACATGACTAACTGCGTGAAACATGCGTTCGATTCGAGAGAATTGCTCATTTCCGAGGCCGGTATCTCGATGACGAGGACTTTTGCCCTTGGCTCTTCGAATTGTTTCGCGTATTTTCTATATGATGCGAGATAAAGCGTTGAAAGTGAGATGAATGAAGTAAAGTTGAACAAAATGAACATGAAAATTCAATTATGTAATTATTTATAATTAAATAAATTATATTTAATTATATACAATTACATATATAATTATTTAATTAAATTGGATTTTCACTGTGTAGAATTATGTGTATTTTTATCCTTCTTTTTTATGATTGCAGTGTCTTTAATTGAGAATGCACGATGACGCAGCGAATATATCCGTTGTCCGCGAACCCTCACGAAGGTTCACTGGATATTCAAATGGAGACGCTGAAATTAAATCACTCCCCCCACCGGGAAAAGATCCTCTCGAGATGTGAGTATTGATAGTGTTGGAATGATTGCGTTTGCTTGTTCGAAAATTAGCTCTCTAGAAAGATTTTCAGCGCGTAATTCGACCGCAGTTTTTTTAAATTAATTCACAATTCGTGACCAAGTGTTACCTAATTCCATATCGCGATGACGTTTGAATAACTCGATTAGTTTGAGTTGCTTAAGACGCAAATTTGTTGTGGATGCTATATGTGTTTGCTTGAATGTTTGCACGAGTTCTCGCATGTATAATTTTGTTTTCTTTGATTTGAACGATTATCGATTGGTGCAGAACAATTTAGTTATTATCACGTATATACCATATGTAATCGCAAACTGATTATAACAATCACGTGTAATGATATAAATATACCAACGCGAATCGATCATTCTTTGATAGGAATATTAGACATGCGTCAGATTACGAGTATATGAATCGGCAATAAATGACTGTTGTTGGATAAGAGAGAAACGAATTGTTTTGATAAGTTATAAAAACATTTTCAAATTATTCATACTTTCCATTATATGATCACATAGGGAAATATGTAAGAAAGAGTTATTAAATTTATTCGACGAGTGTACAAATAGAAAATCATCTTATAGAATAATAACATCGTAGAAGAAGAAGTTTGCATTGATGACAATTATTTTATCAGCTTCACTTTTCAGCGAATAAATTAATAATGAGCGCAAGTTTCAGTGGATTTCATTTGAGTTACACGATAAAAGTGGGCAACGAATTATTCAATTAACTTACAACTTGTGACGAGAATGTATTAAGAGGTACTAAATGTCTCACTTGAAATTTCGAGCAAAGACCGCCATTCGTTTTAGTTACTTCCACGAGAGCCGAGACTAAGAAAGTTTTCCTGAGAGGCGATCGGTTACACAAGTCTTGCAAAGTATAGGGCTTACCAGTGCCGTACGGGAATTTTCGAATTACTATCGTAATTAAAAAACGATGTATTATTTTGACGCGAATATTTTTATCATTTATTAATCTGCGAAAAAATCATCCAGTAAAATCTTTTTAAAAGAATATATATATATATATTTTTCTTAAAAAAAAGCATAAAGAAATACTATATACGATAATCATGCATCATATTTCTAAAGTGACATTGTGCTATATTTCTTTTCTTATGATTATTTCCACAAAGTGTCATTTCTCACATTTTTATATTCGATAAATCGTAAGTAAAATAATCGATAAATCGTAAGATCATCCTTGATGAATTTTACGCGAAAATTTAGGCGGATTACTTATCGTCTTCGAGCATGTGTCTATCGAAGCATGCGTGGCATGCTACGGCACTGTTATTACTTCAGGTGGTAAAGCTTCCTATATTCCGCGCCGATCGTAGATTTGTCGAGGGAGTTTCTAACAGCAATTACGTCGCTAATGGAGCCCCCACGGAGAGATGCCGGCCGACTTTTGCCAAAGTCTCTCATCCAGGGCTGCTCTTCGGGTTCCTGGGCTTTGCGACGACGACGACGTAGAAACTTCTCGCAGATCCTGGTTAATTTTTTGCGCTCTCTCTCTCTCTCTCTCTCTCTCTCTCTCTCTGCCGAGTTACCCAAAAGCTCTCTATATTCTCGTAGATTTTCGGATTGGCGATTTACGGACGTTCCTCTGTTCGATTTACGACCTCTAACCAAGGCAGCATTTTTATAAGCCAAGCCATTTCCCGAATTAGATGATCTTAAGCCGATATCAAGATGATGTCTATCGTCACATTTGATAACAATCTCATATGCGATTACGAAATATATGCGTGATAATAGCTTGATCACTTCTTGGTGGAAAATACTAATCCAACTGTACACAACATGCAATTACTAATAAAATATGTAAAGACGTTTCGTAAATTTATTTTAATCCTCTTGTTATTACCGTTTTATCTCAAGATTTAATGCAATCAACGGTAACAGATAGATTATTTTCAGCGCACGCTTTGCATTTAATAGTGCCAGAATTTTACGTGTACGGTGTACGTGTATGTTATATATTTCATTTCAGACACACAACAAGACAAGGAGAAGGATAAATATGAAGCCGAATATATGCTAGAGGAAAATGGCAAAACAATGTACGAATGAGCTTGTTACAGATTATGGCATATAATATAATTAGAAATAAATACGAGAGAGACTGAATAATGGATCGTTTCTCGCCGGCTTATTAATATCTTGATATAGCCAGAGGAGACTATAGCATAAAACTTTTACAGACCATAGACAGTTTTGTGTATAAGACAAACGTATGCTTTTACGAGAATGCTTTCGGTATCGAAACTTCGTTCTTTTTACCACTCCGTAAAAGTAACCGCGTCGTTTGTCTAACGCCTCTTTTCTTTCCGCGATTTCGTCAAGTATCCTCTAGTACGGTAATCTTGTGGATGTACCGTAAAATTGTTGAAAAATTTTTCACGTCTTTGCAAAATCTCGATTTTGTTACTTTATCTATAAACAAAAAAAATCGCTCAAAGACAGCATCTCTTCGCATTTTTTTTTCGACAATTTAATATAATTACGTCGCATCTCTGATTGAGAATTTTGTGTTATCTGTGAGTTGTATCGAAAAACACAGGGCAACTGATCCGTTTGGAATAGCCGAACTTTAATCGCAAGAATCTCGATTAATAATCGATCTTGCATTTTGTGTTCACAGGGAATTCGTGCCACCGCAAACGAAGGAGGAGGATAAGTCAGCCTCACAGAAATTATCGCTGCCACCAGTGCCTTACTACAAACTTGTGAGTTTTTCCTGCGAATAATTTATGAGATAATGCATGAGAAATTCTCTGATAGATTTCGCAAATGCTCTCGCGGCGAAAGCCAAAACATTTGAGGAATCAATAATATTCAGAGTGTTTCTCAATACATGTTTCTTTTTGTTTATAGATTTTTCATCGAAAATGTAGAGTTGCTCTTCCGAATTTTTATTTCTTAACGTTTTAATGTCTCTTCCAAAAAATTAATTCTAATAAAATGGGTGAAGCAAACGTGAAAAATTTGGCACGCTTTATCTTTTTTTTTTTTTGTAAAATTGCACTTTAAACGAAATAGGAACACACATTCTCGAGTGATTCGCTGATGAAATCGTTAAGTGATACTTTTTTCTCGATCGCATCAACGTGAAAAGATTGTCAAATAGGCGATTAATGATATTTTTTATTTGATAAACGACAATTGATCGGCTCATCGCAGGAGAGATACATTTGTAAAATTTTCTACTTTACATTTCATTGTGGATCCTTTTGTATTTAAAAATTGAATTTGAACAAACTTTTTACAACGTTGCAAATTTAAATACGTTTTTCGGTTAATTATGATCGTTCCTGAAGAAGAATAGAGTTGGTCTCGTTCTCGTTAATCACATTGTTAGTCAGGTAAATTAATTTTGCAAGTTAAATCTTTTGGAAGCCGCAAATTTGCGCTGCTGAATCATTCAAGTACGAGCAAACTCACCGCTGCTGAATCACTCGAAAACAGCGTTTGTGTAACTTTCGAACATTTTTTCTCGCCTTAATATAATATATATTATATTCTTTCTATACTAATAATTTTTAATAATAAAGATAGTTAGCCAAAAATAAGATAGTTGTGCTATTTATAAAGTACAATACTTATAATATCTGCGATGTAAATTAATCATGCAATTGTTTGAAACTTATCAGTTTCGATTTGCAACCTGCGGCGAGTTGACGCTGACCATCTTAGGCTTAATAATGGGCTCCTTAGTAGGGCTATGTGTGCCAGTCGCTACGATTCAATATGGTGAATTCAGTACGCTATTAGTGGATCGTAATATGGAGAATCAAGTGACCTCGCCGACCATCATGATGCCATGGTTCGGAGGTGGAAAAATTTTGTAAGTCCAATAGATTCAGACTCATTTCGGAGCAAGTGGAAATTTTTTTATCCCGTCATTTCAGGCCAGCTAATGCGACTCGAGAAGAGAAAATGGACGCTTTGTACGACGATTCGATCGCTTACGGCGTCTCTTGTGCGGCTTTAGCGGCAATTCAATTCGTCCTTGGCATATTGATGGTCGACTTACTCAATATCGCCGCCTCGAGACAAATCTCGAAGGTGCGCAAGATGTTTCTGAAAGCCGTCCTAAGACAGGATATGGCATGGTACGACACGAACACGTCGACCAACTTCGCCAGCCGGATTACCGAGTGAGTTTTCTCCCTCTTATCATTATGTAGATGCGTCGCGCAGGTGGAAGTTCTCGATTTCGAGCGCGAGATAACGAGATAATTTTCGAGTAAATTTGTCTCGATCGAATATTCGCCGCGATAAGCAATTTTAATGCCTCCCGCCGACGTCAGCGTCTGTGAAAGTTTGTGAGACGAGAAATAAAATTAATATCCCTCGTTTATATTTATAAGAAAAAAATGAAGAAAATTTGGTGGTCGAGATTTCAAATATTTCCAAGATACAAGTCGATCTCTTAAATGAGGATTTCATGGAGATTAACAACTTTGATGATTTGCACTCTCTCGCTATTGCTGTCGCGGAATAATTTCAACGCGGATAATATTCAGTATATTCACGCGCCGGTGCGCGTTCAAAGGGAAGCGTTATACCTTCGATTTTCGAGACCGTCGATGTAAACGTCGGGGAAGCGGACAGCAAAGTTCAGGAGGCGAGAACCGGTGTGTTCATCAACAGGTGGGCGTTTGCGAAACTCGAAAAGCCTGCTCCCACACTGCCTCTCTGCTTTCGCTCGCATTACATCGTATAGTAATTGGACGGGGGACTCGTATTAAAAGTTATTAGTCGCGTGAATCGCGACGATATTAGTTTAAAGAAGTTTTCATTTTTATCGATCGGAATAATCGGACTCGGTATAATTTGCGGTATAATTCTTCGCGTCTTTCTACGTCGTAAAGATAAGGGATAATTAATAAGAGCTTAAAAGAGATTATTGCGTTGCGCGATTATTCGTCAACTGCGAAGATGAACACAATCATCATGATGTAGCAAAATGTCGGGCAGTATATTTCATATCTTGGAAATTCCTTTACTATTTTTAACGATTGCGGCTATCTGCATCAATCGATCGGTAACAATCAACGTTGAAGACTTTTAATCTTGTAACAGATGGACAGCAAAAATATGAGATAAAATGCCGATAAAGGCGCGCGCTGATAATTAATCTCATTCAAAAAACCTCATTAAAAAAAAATTGAGTCTCATTATTGGTGATCCTGACTATAAATTAAGTAAAAGAGAACCCTAATACTTAATTACCAAAAGAAAAAAAAATAAGAGATAAAATGAAATTACACAAGCTATCAAAGTATTTATCTTAATTAATTATTGCGGCAATATTATCCGTCTTCTTGACAGGGACTTGGACAAGATGAAGGAAGGGATCGGGGAGAAGCTCGGCATCTTCATGTACTTGACGACCTCATTCATTTCTTCCATCATCATCTCATTCGTGTACGGTTGGAAATTGACCCTAGTGGTGCTGAGCTGCGCGCCAATCATTATAATTGCCACTGCCGTGGTCGCCAAGGTGCAAAGTTCCCTGACGGCCCTGGAACTCGCGGCCTACGGCCAGGCCGGAAGCGTCGCCGAGGAAGTTCTAGCCGCGATCAGGACCGTCGTGGCGTTCAACGGCGAGCAGAAAGAGGTGGAGAGATATTCCGAGAAGCTGGTGCCCGCGGAAAAAACTGGCACTAGGAGGAGCATGTGGTCCGGAATCGGCGGCGGAGTTATGTGGCTTATCATATACCTCAGCTACGCGCTGGCATTCTGGTAAGATGATTTATTCTGTCTGTCTAGGAGGATATATTTATTTCTCCCACAGTTTTCTTCACTTCGCGTTTTGCAAAAATTAAATTTAAATTTGCGTATCATAATTGAGTTCTCTATATAGTGATGTGTTTTTTTGATAAAATGATATGATGAACTATAAATGAGAAATGCAAATTCATTATTGCTATTATTATATTTCGTAATTATTTCTTGAAAATTAAACTTTCATAAACTCAGCAAATATCGTGCGCGTGTAATGATGGAAAATCTGTTGTTCAATAAAGTTGTTGTGATAAAATATTGTTTTCATGTTGTAATAAAAACGTGCGAAAGTTAATTATTCCAATATTATCATTTCTCACCGTAAACATTTGATTTTGATTTTATTTATCTTCCTTAACAATACGAGAGCACAGAGTAATCTTTTTTTTTTCAAATACAAAAACCACGAGATGGTTAATTGGGCACTTAAGTTCAAGAGCACCGGTCGGCTTCCGTTTACACAGCGTCCGACAAAAAGGTGTTAGCTTTAGAGGACGTGTCGCGTCCGGGCAAAAACTAGGATCTCTCTTTTCTGCTACAGGTACGGCGTGCAATTAATCCTGGACGATCGCCCGAAGGAGGTGAAGGAATACACGCCGGCCGTATTGGTGATCGTGTTCTTCGGCGTACTTTCGGGGGCGCAAAACATGGGCCTGACCTCGCCGCATCTCGAGGCGTTTGCGGTCGCGAGAGGATCCGCGGCCGCGATTTTCCAAGTTCTCGATCGCGTGCCGACGATCGATAGTCTGAGCAAGAGCGGCTCGCGGCTCGAGTCCGTTAACGGCGAGATCGAATTCAAGGGCGTCGAATTTTTTTATCCGGCGCGGAAGGACGTTTGGGTGTTGCGAGGCCTGAACCTGAAGATCAATCGCGGCGAAACGGTGGCGCTCGTCGGCGGTTCCGGATGCGGAAAATCCACCTGTCTGCAGCTCATTCAGCGTCTCTACGATCCGCAAGGCGGAATGGTCGGTAGCGAGTTCGTCTAGATCAATTTTCGTCTCTCGTCGAGATAAAGAGAAAATTTAGACTTATTCGTCTTGACAGATTTTAAGAGACCTCAGCATTTTTTCGATATCGTATTTTCTTCTCCTCTTTATTTCGAGAAGATTTACTTTAAACTGGTTTACCAACTTTTCTGAGGACGATGGGCACACAGCGACACACTTTTGTGAGATACGATGTGCGTTTTTTACGTAGGAAGCAAAGTTAATAACTGTATATAGCGTCGTAAATGTTCTGGGGATATTTCTACTTCTCGCGAAATTACAGTGACGTCTAGAAATAAATGACGAGACATCGCGATAATTTATTTGTGATGGAGAGAATAATTGTTTTACAACAGTCGCGACCTCGTATTATAATTTTCCATTATATCGACGTGGAATCTTCGAACATCGTTTTTATCTCGGTATCAGTTCACTTATCCTGTTTATATTTTCACAACGGGGCATAAAATTTTCACGATGAAAAATCGCCACATTGGCGCGAAAAAGGGATCGGATATCGCAAAATTATTGCCGCTCGAATATAGAATCGAGCGCGTTGTGCGGTGAACGGATGTCGTAGCCATTTTATTGTTAACGCGAGCGCGATTTTTATGACGGCAAAGTAGTTGCGGATACAAAATAAACATCCGAATGCGAACACGCTGTATATTCAATGTAATAAACATTTTTTACACGCTCTATTCGATGAATCTGTCTCACGCTCTCGCGCGTGTTCAATATAAACTCATACAGAGAAAAGTCTTTTAGTTATGTTTAATATTAAAATGCCGCGCAAAATACAATACATTTTTCTGTAACTCGATATCAAATTCCTTCATGCATACACAAAAATACGACAACAATAACTATTCTTCTAGCTTTTACATTTTCGTAATATAAACATTTTATCTGACTCTTTTAAAATTTTTTTTTCATTTTTCCCTATTTACATTTCTGTATATTACACATGTCTTGAATTTATTTTTTACTCTTGTACTTTTATATCATTGCGAGATCTGACACGTATATAAAGCAACAATATTAATTAACTAAAGGAAAGAGGTACACTTTAATTATAAGGAATTACTCTTCGAAATTATGGTAATTAAGAGGGAGGTCTGTTTTAATATAAACACGGGCTCCTTTTATATATCGTCGCTCGACTATCGATTCTCGATTTCGGTGCGTCTGTGTGCGTGTGTGTCTATATTGTACATGTGCGAGAGACAATTCCTAAGAGTTTCCGTATTTTTCTTCGCAGGTGCTTCTAGATGGGGTCGACGTGTCTACGTTGAACGTTCAATGGTTGCGCTCGCACATCGGCGTGGTCGGTCAGGAGCCGGTGCTCTTTGATACGACGATACGGGAGAATATCCGATACGGAAATGACAGCATTACCGAAGAGGAGATGATCAAAGCCGCGAAGGAAGCGAACGCTCACGACTTCATCAGCAAACTGCCGGAGGTTAGAAGCGCCGTCGTCCTTTTCTCGTATTCCAACTGCGCCCTTTGCCCGCCCGGAATTATAGTTTCCTTTAGTCCCGAGTTCGATTGATTCAGCCAGTTTCAACGAAAAGTTCAGAACAGAATCAACACGTCATCCGATTGAAAATACCCGGCCAAGATATTGTCCATTCGAGTTTGAGACTTCCATTAAAAAAGCTTTCTTTCTCGATGTGTGTTGCATTTATCTTTCAACTTCTTCTACTTGAAAGTATAGAGAAGGAATGGTTATTATTTCCAAAGTCATAGTTAAATACCTTACTTATAGAATTTTAATAATTTACAAAAATGAGGATGATCGTAAAACTACGCGATTTTATTCAAATTCGATGAAACTTTTTCGCAGACGCGCGCGCGAGTTTCAACGATTTGCCGAGCGCAGTTAAATATGTAAAAACGGGATAGAACGATAAATAACGACCGACGCGAAATGATTTCCCAGTTACGAGAATAATTTCCTGACCGCGCGCGCATTTCGCAATGTGTTAACAATAGTCTCAGGTGTGCCTGGCAGTTCGCGCGGTACGCGCGCAAACAGGCGATAAAACACGCGTGTTGAACCGTGCAGCACGGGGGCAAATAACATTATCCGAGATTACGCCTATGTCAACGATTAGGCGTTTATTAGCGGATTATCGGTGGGTGAATTCGATACTCGCGACGGTTCCGTTCGATCGTTGCCGCGTTTGCATTTAGAGCTTTACATCTACACGCGCGCGATTACGATTTAACCGTGCACCTTCTGCATACACGCTTGCAAAATGAGTGGGATGAGTAAGTTTATCACACATTGCTGGTTATAATATAACTGATCGGCGTGGCCACGTGTCGCCGCGATAATATCTATATTAATAATATAATTTGTAACAGCTCTTTAAAAATTAATATACATATAAAAGGCAATAAGAGCTAATTAAGTTCTGTTATTAATATTTATTTGTGGAAAAATATTTTTAACATTAGAAAAATTATAGTTTTAGTATATTGACAGTTATGAATAATTTATTGTTAATTTCTATTAATCTTTAATTTTAAATGATGCGCTGAAGAAGGTTGAAAAAGGCAACCGAAACGTTCGAACTTTTTTGTCTAATATTTTATGTTAAAAATTTTTTTCCACAAATAAATATTAATAACAGAACTTAATTAGCTCTTATTGCCTTTTATATGTATATTAATTATTAATGTCTGAATTATTTTCGTTAAATTGCATCGGATATGTAAATGGATTTGGTAGAGCAGGCTTCTTCCTGTTAATGAGACATTTTTCGAGCTATTTTTTCGAATCTTACGCGAGGCTATATATAGAGAAGAATGCTATTATCAACAAATGTGTCGCAGTTTGCAAAATTATTAAACCGCGCGTTCCATATACACCGCAGATGTGACACGCTGTTTCACCTTTGATTAAATAACCATTATTTCAAACCGCAAATCGCTCGAAAACTACCCTCGAGCAATTGACAGCCCGATACCACGATCGATATTGCCTCGTACCTACAAATCCGCGAACGAGATAATTCACTTTTGTGGGTTTAAATAAAGATGATATACATACCAACAAAAATGTCCAAAAGATTTCATTGCATTTTCCATTAATTATAGTTGTTAAACTTTTTAATTAAAATTGAAGAGCGGAAAATCTATTACACGCAATACCGAAGAATTTAAAGAATGAATTATTTTCTTAGTTAAGAGTTTTTTCTCGATGCGAAATTTAAATTTCAAGAAGGCTAGAATTTTCTCCGCAAAATTTCAGAGACACCCTCGTTCTTTTCGTATAAGATGTGTTCCTCTAATAAAATCGACTCGATCCTCGCGCATGAGAGAATCCCAATAATAATGCCGCCGATCTCGATTTAGGGATACGATAGTCCAGTGGGCGAGAGAGGCTCTCAACTATCGGGCGGACAAAAGCAAAGAATCGCTATCGCGCGTGCGTTAGTGAGAAATCCGGCGATCCTTATACTGGACGAGGCAACGTCCGCTTTGGATGTTCACAGCGAGGCGACCGTGCAAAGGGCTCTCGACGCTGCTGCAAAGGGAAGAACGACGATTATAGTCAGCCACAGACTCTCCACGATCACGAATGTCGATAGGATCGTGTTTATTAAGAACGGAGTGCTCGTCGAGCAGGGTACCCACGAAGAATTAATGGCGCTCAAGGAACATTATTACGGATTGCACTCCACTCACGCGAATGTTCGGGCTCAGGGTATGATTTGTATGATAATTGCATACGCGCGCAGTATCGATATTATTAGGAAAATTATTTATTGTTTGGTTATTCGATTAGATAAAGCCACGAAAGCTGCCGCTAAAGTGATAACAAGCCCGAAGATGAAAATGAAGCCGCAGCTGAATAAGCAGTTTTCGACCATGTCCTTGCATTCTCATCGTTTATCTCTCGCGAGATCCGAATCCTCGCAGGAGGAATTCGAAGAGCAGGAGAAACCTTATGACGCGCCCTTAACGAGGATATTTGCGCTTAACAAGCCGGAATGGTTATATAATCTAATTGGTAATTTCTAGCTAACGAGAATAGTTAGTAGTAGTTAATAAACTTTTATTGATGACTAAACGCTTTATCAGTCCTTTGAGAGAAAATATACAAAGCAAATATAGCGAGTAATCAAAAATATTTTTCATCTAATAAAGAAGAAAAATAAGAAGACTTCTTTCTTCTCTTCATCAAATCGTTTCCCTCCCATATAGCAATTCGATCACGTTATTATTCGCGAAATAATTCGCATTTCTTTTCGCAGGATGTCTCGCGGCGGCGACGGTAGGCGCGTCGTTTCCGGCCTTTGCTGTGCTATTCGGTGAAGTATATTACGTGCTGAGTCTCCAAGATCCCGACGACATCACCAGAAGGACCATCAATTTCTCGATATTATTCATCATCGTCGGTATACTAACGGGTATCTGCACCTTTCTGCAGATGTACACGTTCGGCGTGGCCGGGGTGGATGACGACGCGAATAAGGAGGATGGCGTTCACCGCGATGGTCAAGCAAGACATGGGCTGGTACGACGAGGACGCGAACAGCGTCGGTGCGCTTTGCGCGAGACTGTCATCGGACGCGGGCGCCGTTCAGGGTGCGACTGGAACCCGCGTCGGCGCCACGTTGCAGGCCTTCTCGACCCTCGTCATCGGAATCGGACTGTCCATGTACTACACGTGGAAGATGACCCTGGTCTCGGTGGTGTCGATTCCCCTGGTTCTCGGCGCGGTCTTCTTCGAAGCGAGAGTAATGGGCGGCCAGGGAATGCAGGAAAAGAAGAAGATGGAGGCGGCCACGCGAATCGCCGTGGAAGCCATCAGCAACATCCGCACGGTCGCCAGCCTCAACAAGGAGGAGCGCTTCTTCGACAGGTACTGCGTGGAACTGGACCACGTCGCCAAGGCGACCAGGATCAGGAATAGATTGAGGGGCGTCGTGTTCTCGTGCGGACAGACCGCGCCCTTCTTCGGCTACGCCATCAGTCTTTATTACGGCGGCTATCTGGTGGCCCGGGAGGGACTGAGTTACGAGAATGTCATCAAGGTGTCGGAAGCGTTGATCTTCGGCTCCTGGATGCTCGGTCAGGCGCTCGCGTTCGCGCCCAACTTCAACACGGCGAAAATCTCGGCCGGCAGGATCTTTCGGCTGCTCGACAGAGTGCCGGAAATCAGCTCGCCACCGGGATCGGAGGGGAAGAATCTGGACTGGGTGAGACCTCATCCTCGATATTATATTTGGCGAATGTAAATTCTCTCGTGATATGTATATATGCGCGCGTAAACCGCGAATGTAGCACAGCATTTCGGAAATCGCGCACTTTCACTTCATTGCGCGTGTGTACGTATTTAACGCTGACCATTAAACAAATAATATTTGCAATGCAATTGCAAATTCAAATTGCGGTCGGCTCGTTGAACCGCTAAAATGTTTAATATCGATTAATAATGATACTAAGCGAAATATGGGACGTCTAATTAATTCTCGACAAAGACAAATAGAAAATTCGCTAAAGAATGCAAAGTCGCGATGAAGCAGAGATTTAGTTTAGAGTTTAGAGAATTAGTTTTAACTTTAATTAGTTTCTTACGATGTTAATTAAAACTTGCGCGACATTGAACACGGCATTGAAATTTGTTACAAAATCATAAAATCGTAAAATCATTAGTTTTCGAGATTTACGTTAATGCACGAAAAGTTATGTGACATCCAAGATGATTCTTTTCATTCATTACCATATATTAAATTAATTCGATTAAATTAAAAGCGAAGAAATCTCTGAATATATTATGTGTGGAAAAGAATGTTCTTTCTATATCGTAAAATGTAATACCAAAGAATAATATTGTACCCAGCTTGTTTTACTTTATATTTACATAAACGGTTGTTATAGTCTTAATCTCTTTTATCCTTCCAAATTTTATAAAATTTGTAAGATTTTTACTCAAACTAAACAGTTTTAATAATCCTTAAAACGTGCATAAATTAATCGAATGATTAGCGCAATCTCTTGTAGACACCGCTGATTGCGGATACAAGTTTAAAGTTCGAACTGTAATTTTCTATTTCGTTTACAGTGCAACATGTATGCTTACACTCGCGGAAATTGAAATGCTTGTGTAAATGATGTAACATCTATTAGAAATTTACGGCTGTCTGATAGCTCGCCTCAAGCAATGTCGTTAATTAATGTAGAACTCTGATTGATTCTGTCAAATCAACATCGTATCCAAAAATACTTGAATGAAGTGTAACTCGTTATAAATGTCTCCAAATAATGAGTCACTTAATCACGCGATTAAATCAATCTTCTCCAATTGCATCAACAAAGAATTAAAAAACTTCTCTAATTTTTCTCTATTTCTCGTATTTTTCATATATATAAAATTTAGAAACATCAAAGAAATCAGCAGGGAATAAACGTACGAGATTAAACGCGTGAAACCTTTCCTCGGGTAATTAATAATAACGGATCGCTTAATTTTTTGCTTTGCAGAAAGCGGACGGTTTCATTCAATTCTCGAAAGTCGACTTTCACTATCCGACGCGGCCAGAGATGTCGGTGCTCAAAGGGCTGAATTTAATTGTAAAGTCCGGTCAAATGGTGGCTCTCGTGGGTCAGAGTGGTTGCGGAAAGTCCACTTGTATTCAGTTGCTACAGCGTCTCTACGATCCGCTCGCTGGAACCGTGACGTTGGACCGACGAGACATCGCGTCGGTCTCGCTGACCACGCTCAGGTCGCAACTAGGTGTCGTGGGACAAGAACCGGTGCTCTTCGATAGAACGATAGCTGAGAATATTGCCTATGGCGACAACAGTCGACAGGCGACTATGGATGAGATCATCGAGGCCGCCAAAATGTCCAACATCCACAGCTTCGTGACTTCGCTACCCTTGGTTAGTCATATCATTTTTATATTTGTCGCGCAATAAAAGAATAAATTTCAATACAAGAAATCATAAAAAATTTAATTTCTTAGTTTTTCATATTTAAATATTTATATGGTATTTTTTACATGTAATGAGATGTACGACACGAATATTAAATTTAATATATTAAAATTACATAAAATCAATATATAGATTAGAAATATAATTAACCAAAAATCGCAAATAATTGAAAGAAATTGTGGAATATTTTTTGTATATAAAAATCTATTCTCTTGACTTGTTCAGGGTTATGACACAAGATTGGGAACGAAAGGCACTCAACTTAGTGGCGGGCAGAAACAAAGAATAGCAATCGCACGAGCGCTACTGAGGAATCCACGAGTTTTGTTATTAGATGAAGCAACTTCAGCCCTCGATACTCAAAGTGAGCAGGTAAGAAGCAACCACAATATTCTCCTGAAGAAAATAACTCGTGAATAATTTTGCAGACAATTTTTCGCTCTTTTTCCTCCTCGATATGAAGTATTAAGCAAGTATCAAGTATTAAGTAAGCCTCGGATTACAATTGTCCGCTCTCAGAAATATATCGTAAAAAAACAATGTAGATACTCATTATTCAAATAAATGTACTGGTGGATTGTTGCGAGTATATTTGCAAAAAGTTATTTATATTAATCAAATAAAGCTTCATGCGAGATTCACGATGTAAAATGATCTTCGTCTTCGTCTCTCACATAGCGTATGCATCCTATCAATATTAATAGTGTATATATGCCTATATTATATGTATACCTATTTTATATATATATTTTTTTTTATTATACATATATAATTATATTTTTATTTTTTATATGTGTATATATTTATTTTTTTAATATCATATATATATAAATTTCGGCCCGCTAGTGGAGACCAAGACACGATTTATTGGATTCGATTGAAAATCTTCCGCAGGACACGTAGAGAACGTTATCGTTCTCGCGAGAGTATCAGAGCAGTGACGGTTAATCAAGTTAACGACCGTAGAAAGCGAAGGCGAGATTCCCACGGGCACCATCCCGCGAATTTTTCTCGCGAATTCCGCCGGCGAAATCTCGGTACGCTTTATAATGTCGTTGCTGTATAGTCGTTAAGAAAGTCTGTTGCATTTTTGCCGCGCGAGTTTACGCCTGCTCTAATTGACGAAAGCAAGGGAAGATATGCTCGTACGCGCGGACGAACTTATTCCTCCTTTTATTGCGGTTGCTTCTAAGTTCTGTGGAGCAACGAGTCAGCAACGAGTTCTTAGGTCCGTTTGTTTTAGCTGCACTTTTCTTTACTTTATATCAAGCGAATGTATATTCGCGCTTTGGATGGAAGAGGAGGAAAAAGAGAGCCACGATGTGGAAAGTACAAATGAAACAGTCTTTTTTTATCGCAAAGAGAAAAGTCTGAATTTTCTTCGTAAGTTTCCTCAACGCGGCCATAAATATTAGTCCTAAGATCCGAAGAAAAGTATTATTAAAATTAGTGACAAGGTAAAAAAAATGCGAAAACAACGAGTAAGTTTGTTCGATTAATCTTCCTATTTCGTGCCTAATCGAAATGATTCGCTTCGTATTTTTGACAGAGAAGAACAAACTATTGAAATACACCCCGTAAATATCTCGAAACTATGTTGCAAACAAAACTATTTCCGATAAGCAATAATGCGCGAGATAGTCGGCGGTGTTGGATAATAAATATCTGAGTATTTACGGTATCGGATGTGCGCTTGACTATCGGCTATGCGGACCGCGAACGATTTCGCGGTGATCTAAACTATCGCGCGATGAATATTAATGATAACTGATGGATCTTGATAAAAAATATCGGCGGAAGAGCAAATCAAATAATTAATAATATGCGACGAAACAATACGAACTATGCGTATACGTAGCTATAAATGCGCTTTGATAAATATATATAATTATGATTATTATATTAAAAATAAAATATATTTAATTCATTTTATATATTTAAAATTAATACTTTTTTCGGTGAAAAAAAAAACTAACAATATTCGCGTGCAAATTGCGCATAATAGCACAATCGTATCTTCTTATTCCCGATTCTGTAAAAGAGAAAGACTGCGATAATCCGACGAGAAAATCTCCGGGGCAAAATATATTTTTTTTTTTTATATTTTCTCTCACCTCTGTTGAAATTACCGGCTGCAACGCCATTGACGATATTATCGGCGCTAACAATCGGAAATTCCCGGTTTTACGAGCAAGCAGTTGTTACGCTCCTCCGGTCGGGAAACGGCTCGTCGCGACAAAATGAATTTCACAGCAACATTGTTTCGCGACCCTCCGGACTCGCCCTCTCGGAAACGTAATACACGTGTGCGCCATCATCCCTCCTTTCGTGCATCGCCGATCCGTAAAACGGAAAAGTGTTTATATGTTCGATTAGCTCCATCCCCGATTTCAACTACGTTTCGCATTAACACCAGCGGCTCTGTATTAATTGTTCCACGTTTTACAAAATTAATTTTGCAAAGTGTACCGAGAGAAATAATTTATATTACTCTCCCGGAAACACAAGAGCCATACACGCACGACGCTGTGTTATTAATGTTAATTGTTTTTAACTCTTTCACTACCGCGCGACGTTCCGCTTCGTATAACGAATCGGCGTCATACATATATGTATGACGTAGTACGTTTAGTTAATATTTATATTACGCTGTTTTCAAAACAGCATAAATAGTTAATCATGTTTCGCCAATCAAATGTAAATTATAAATATGTAGAAAAAAAAATCGGAAAAAGAATTTTAATTAATCCCTCGAAACACATCGCAGAGTATATCTCTGAAAAAAATGCCAATATACACGCGTAAAAAAGTTTGTACTAAAAAAAACATACAAAATTTTAAGTAGCAGTTACTCAAACAATTTTACGCGAGCGCGACAACTCGTGCCCCGGTTGTAATATTCCTCGCAACGCATAACGGGCGTATAAAAAAACTTGGTCTTCGATGATTAAGATGTATAAAGCGAAGACGTAATAGCCAACTTAATGACAGTCGTTTAACGTTTTCATTTCCGTCGTCGCGCGCTTACGATCCCGTCCCCGAGAACGAGAGAAACGCGCGCCATCGCATTTATCCGTCATTTTCTACACGCAGGTCGTGCAAGCGGCTCTGGACAAAGCCATGCAGGGCAGGACGTGCATCACCATCGCCCACCGTCTGGCCACCATAAGAAACGCCGACGTGATCTGCGTGCTTGACCGAGGCACCGTCGCCGAGATGGGCACCCACGACGACCTGATGTCAGCTGATGGCCTCTACGCTCACTTGCACGCTGTTCAGGAAGCTTCCGTACAGTAAACGGAGGGCTCAGATTACCGCTTTTTCCTCCCATCGACGCGGTCACATCGACAGGTTGATGGTGCTCCATTCGAAGAGACGAGAGGTAATTCAATTGGGAAATCCGCGGAAGAAAGCGCGAGACTTGCCGGGAATGGCACAGCCGGACTATCGTCGGAAGAATCGCTGAGGTGTATCACTAGCGATGGCCAGGCATTTCGAAAAAACGGTCGCGTCAGACGAAGCAGATTTTACTCGAATCTCTATCGCTGCTCCGTCCTTGTTGTGGCGAAGTCACGCGAATCGAGTATCGATTTACTTTTGACGGAGAGACTCCACTCGGAATTTTACCGTTCTTTGCGTCTCTCAAATCGATTTCTCTAACTAGTGACACGGGGATATTGAATAATCCTGTATCTGTCACGACAGTTTCCCCATTCATCCTCTATTGGATTCATTTACAGATTAAACGAGAGCATGAAGAGAAGTAGATTTTACGATAGTAATATTGAAATTTCTTTTATTTAAAAAAAAATTATTAAATAAAAAAATATTTATTTCAATACTGTCTAATAAATCATTTATTTGAAACAAATAAATATTTATCAGTTTGAAAAAGGATTTTCTTATATCAAATAAATATTTTTCACATCAAATCAATATTATTAGTTTCGAATAAGTGATTTATTTGACAGTATTGAAATAAATACTTATTCAAATTCAATCAATTTTTTCAGTGTATATGTAAACGTGAAATTTGTATTTGTAAATTTTACTAAATTTTTTCATGATTTATATCCTGGACATGGATCCAAAATTTTCGCTTTGGATGTTGATCGCATCTCTATATCTATCATTTTTACTCGTACTTATCGCTTCTTCTTCCCTAATTTTGTACAAAATATTTGCGGCCGAATAGACTAAAGTGCTTCTTTATCGAGGTTGCGTATTGCTTCTCCCGGTTCGTGTCACTTCGTTAAACATCGTACTTTGCGTAATCTACGTAAGGATACATCTTTTTAGACGTGGCGAAACGAGACATTATCCGTAATGGCAGGCGACGTAATAAACTTTACCATTTCTGCGCCTCGCCACGTCATTCGTATGCGTCGACTTTTCTCCGTAGCGCTTTCTCAGGTGATAATATTTCTCGCGCATACGCACACGTGCATATACACACGTACACTATACGAAGCTTTTACGATCTTCATGCTTCGCGATGAGTGCCGGAAAATTTAACTATCCTTTTCCCGGATAAAAAAGAAGATTCAATCGGGTGAGCAAAAAAAGTCCTTTCGATACTGTTATTTTTATATTAAAGAATTCAATAGTTTCATCATTTAATTCGCTACGACAGCCTGAGCTATGTTATTGAAAGTCAGTACGGGGCAGTATCAATAGGCAATTGACGTAATTAATGTTATTGATCTACGTCCCCCGCATCCTACTAAGATTAGATAGATGGAGTAACGTCAAATCGATTGGTTTGCGGTACGTAATTCGTGTAACAAGGCGTACAAATGGTGACAGGTGTTCGAAGCTAAAGTATTTCCTCGTAATTTCGTCGTAATTTTGACAGTGCCGGTGGCGCTCTAACAATATAATATGAAAAATAGATAAGTATCTCTCCCGGAATAGTCTGTAATTCGCGCGAGACCTTCTCACGCGTTTCTTCATTTTTTCTCTTTTATCTGAAAAATTCAAATGTTCATCTCCATCCCTTCGCGCGAAGAGAGAGAAAGAGAGAGAAATTTCTTCCTCTCATTCGGATATATATATACTCGTAAAATCTAACGAATTCACCCGCGAGGCAAAATTTCGTGTACCACGAGGACGTAATAAATCGTCGTCGGCTTCTATTCACCGGTGCCTTAATAATTAGATGTTAATTTACCGCCGTCACGTGACGGAGAAGGTATAACAAGGACGATATGAAACAGCGGCAACGATGAAAAAAAAGGATACTTACGTATTTGGCACATTTATTTACGTCCAAGGAGAAAAACTCTCCTTCGCCGGAGAAAAGGCAAATATACGTATCTGCGAGCATGTGCTGAATTCGATCAAGGAAAATTATGTAAAGTAATGCTCGTGTATGAATAAACCAAAATTTATTACCGCAATAACAGTTATGTGTATAGAACGGGGAATAAATAAAATAAAATAGGCAATTGTATATTTACGAGAGAAAGACGATTTGAAGTCTAATAAGAATTCTGGCTTCCTTTGTACAACGAAACGACTTTCCTCTGCGCGAAACGAAAGTCGATAATCGCGAAACAATCAGCGATTCTCGCAATCGAGCGGTAATTGATTTTTCGAATGCACTTTTGGAAATTACAACTCGCCATTCTCGAATTTCTCATAAATTACACTTCGCGATTATATTCTATCGATATATACATATATTTCGTGCCTTCATTCCTTAAAAAAATAATGAGATTCGCCGACACGCGGAGGCTTATCGGATTTAGCGATGATATAATACATTCGACGGCGAAGGGACTGCGTGTAAAAAAGGTCGATTTTTCAGAATTTGCGCTCTCGGCTTAAGGGAACTGTGTCGTGTGTAAGACGTCGTCGCGATTCATTTACCGAGAGATAATACTGCGCAAACACAGTCGCGGTTGAATGTAAAAAAGGGATCGTTTTGTACTAATCGAGCAGCCGAGATACAAATCGTTGAAACGATAATTGTTAATTATAGAGATTGAACATTAATTAATTTTATTAATGTCTTTCGAGAGAATTTCCATAGAAAAATCTATATCGATTTAAAGCGAATTTAACTATTCTTTTGGCATATATTTATAAAAAAAAACATTTTATATTAAAATAGAAAACCAACCTAAATAATTAAATTCGCTTTAAATCAATATAGATAAAATAATTATTTAAAATTATAAATAAAAAATTAATTATGTTTAAAAAAATAATTACTAATGTAACTCTCGTTCACCAAAAAAATAGTTAAAATCGGGAAAGAAGATATATCTTGTAATTGTTTTTTGTTCAATTGTCGTTATTTATATTTATCATTGCGATCACTTAAGAACAGAACTTAAGGATAAAGATCTTGTACTAATTTACATAGAACGAAGATAAACTCTCGTTTGGATTCTATGAAAGAATTAAAAAATTAGCGTAATTCACACAAACGATCAATTAGCGATCAGATCTGTATGCAAACTGTGTACTTACAACATGATATTAGATGTGGAGGATGAAATATTACAGTTTTGTAAAAAGAGAAATATAATTGTAACATAATAATAATAAAGTATGATAAAACAAGAAGGGTGGAAAAAAGCGCAATCTATAATTACATTAGTTCCTTTCTTCTATTATATTTACTGACGTTTTTTTCTTTCTCTAATATTTTGCTCCAGCATTATTGTTCGAAAAAATATTAATTAATAAGATAAAAATGACGTTTGTAAAGAATGGACATGGCTCATCCTTTATCATTTCGCGATGAACACGAAATCAACAGAAAAAATAAGATGGAAAAATATCTATTCTATCTAAAATCTTCTTGGAAAATCTAACAAAAACATTTAAAAACTTTAACAAAATTAAAATGCTTTTCTTTGACAAATAATAATTCCTTACGATAAGATAAATTATCAGCTAAATCGATCTTAAATATATAACGTTTTTACTTCGAGAGGCAGTCATAACTTTTTATATCGCAGTACATACTTGGCGCAAAAAATATATTACGTGACAAGGAAGAAATATCTTTATCTCGTCGTCTATCACTCTTCCGTCTCGTCATAAGAATGCTTATATTACTAAACTTATTTTTATCACAATTTTATTTATATCATGATTGTTATCTATGAAAAAGAGGGAAGAATATGAATGGGGCAAATTACCGATTAATGAGAATTCTCTTCCCTTCTCTACTTCCCTCCATCATATTACACTTCGAACATCAGTAACACTTCGAGATAAAATTTATCAGAAATTCAATTATCGTATCCCATCGATTACCATTCCCCTTAGGGTTCGAAATTCAACATTTTATATTTCAACGGCACCCTCTATAAAATTCGCCTGTCATACAAAAGTTTGTAATCTCTTGCACGCAAATGAGAAAAAATAGACGATACCTACGTTATCACTTCTGTCAAAGAATTGAAGGAAGCTACAGGAGGGTTTAAAGAATCGGGAAGAATAGGCAAAGGTAGCTGGCGAAGGGACAAGAAGTGAATATCAAGTTCGACGGACGACGGTTCGACTCGAGGTGTAGGAAAGAAGGAGAGATAAGGAGAGAGTTCTTCTCAAAGCTAGGGTAAATTTGCAAAGTTACGGGACTCTGTGGTGACTGCAATGGACGATGGAGTTTTAAGTAAACTTTAGCTGATGTTGCAAATGCCGTAGGGAAATAAATCCCAACAATGATGTTCGTGATCACACATTCGGTTTATTTTATTTCACGTTGATCCAAAGTTAAATTGATATGAAGCAAATTAAAATTTATTTACAAAGTATATCAAATAACGGTTCATTTTATTTTGGACTGAATGTGCGTTAACACACATACATTGGTTAGCAATACAATTTAATTAATAACGACATATTAATTACTAAATTGCTACGGCTGATCAATCTGCTGTGCGTGGAAATTTTATATCACAAAGAGATAAATAATATTGCATTATGACTAAGATTAAACTATTAATTGCTATTCTCTGATTTTCTTTGACATTTAAAATTTAATATAGTAACTTTGGAATAATAATTCGTCCAATTTAATCATGAAAATTTCAATACAGAATATTAGGATATTTTCCTACTTTATTCTTTAGTTATAATATTTAGATTTGCATTTATAAAATCTTGCATCTAATTTTAAAAGTACAAAACATTCAAAATAAAATATAAATATATATAAAATTATTAATTATATTGATTAGTATTTACAATTGTCTATTTATTATTTAAGTTTTTGGTTATTACCCGATTTTATTTTGAAATCATCAATTATCTTTAATTAAAAAATTACACTATTTCAGAATCATAAATTGATGAAAAAAAAAAAAATAGATATTTACAATCTTTAGAATCAATTGTTGCATCTTCATTATCAGCTATTGCAATTTAATTTTACTATTTATAACTTTATTCTCTATATCATTGTTTTAAATTTACTCGTAACTTTATATTTGTTTTTATGTGATCTATGCAAAGTCAAAGAGTAATATTATACAATCAGATTTTACCAGAAAAGTGAGAAGATAATAAAGACTTGGTATATAGCTTATTACATCTGCAAAAATTTTTATATGCCCTTAATAAATGACATGACATATAAAAATAAAAAATTATAATTCTGCTTTAAAAATTATAATAATCTTTTTCGTTAATAATTCCTGTTCAGAGGACCTATATTAATTCGACAAATTGGCAGCCAGGCTAATACCACGCGACATTGAGCTAATAGTAATGCTTAGCAGTACGGCGCAGACGAAATTTTGGGACAGAATTTAGCGCGGGTCGCGTTGTGGTCGGGTGTCAATTAGCATTCAGTGAGGAACGTCGTCCTTTGTCGTA